CAGCAGACCCTCAGCAGACCCTCAGCAGACCCTCAGCAGACCCTCAGCAGGACCTCAGCTCAGCAGGCCCTCAGCAGACCCTCAGCAGACCCTCAGCAGGGCTTTTCAGTACCACAGCAGTGGGTTCTGACTCAGATGTTTAATGAGGTTCTGCTCAGAGCCACTTTGTGTTTCTGTACAGGACCATTGTGGATTCTGGGACATCGTCCCGCCTGAGTGGCTCCATTCAAAGCCTGCCAGATCAGCAGTTCTCGTTTCGGGGGATCCATGAACGTCTCACTGAACGACTTTGGTTCTGCAGAGCAGCTCGATGGACGAAGCTGCAGACGTTCAGAAGCTGCCTCTCAGAGGAATGCAGCTCTGTTAGCACCTGTGAGTCACACCTGTGTGTCCTGACTCCAGGAGTCGGCAGATCTTTTCTCATGCAGTCATGGAGGTGGAGGCTCATGCTTCTTCACTGACTAACGAGGAACGTGCTCCACCACCATCAGCGATTACAAACATTAATGCACCCACTGTGCCAGCTTGTCCTGATCCGAACTCTTACTGAGAGCAACCTGAATACAAACATGTAAAAAATGTCCACACGAGTCCACAACGTTCCTCTAACAGCACCAGGGGGCTGGAGCTGCAACAAACCTGGTCAAAGGGTGGCCCAGAAGACCCAACAGACCAGGACAACGGCTCCTACTGGACTCAGACCAGTCCGTCTTCCTGTTGCCATCGGCCACTATGGGAGCCGTCCACATCCTGCAGGGACGTGAGCTTCCAGAACTGAAGGAGCATCGTGGAGCAGAACTCAGCCGGGTCAACGTGGAGCTTCAACACGTTCGGTGTGTTGATGAGTTCACTCAGTTTAGAGATTCTCTCAGTGCTTAACTAATGTTTCACACTAGGCGTGCCCCGGTACCAGTACTTTTTAGACTGAGTACAAGCACTTCATTTTGGGTACTAGCTAATACTGAGTAGTTAGTGAGTTAGTTCTTGAACGTTACGCAACGACTTTGGAAACACAGAAAACAATCTAGTGTCTGAACAACACCTGCGTCTATCTTTAAATATCTCTACATTATGGACATTTTTTTAGTTTTTGTCCTCAATTACTCACAAGGTGGAAGAGGGAATGACATCACCAGAATAAAAGTGGTAGCAGTCCAAAGTATTTGGGAGTTTTAATGAGTACAAGTACTTGAGGCTGGTATCGGGACACCACTATTTGAATCTAAACACAAAGCTGCTGTGGATCTTCACTCCGTCATAAATCTGTTTGGTGGTCTCACAAACCAGATGTCATCATCTCCTTACTGAGCTGCAGCATCGGCTTATCGTTTCAGCTTTACTGCTCTGCCTCACTTCATGGACAGAGGTGCCTCAGGGTGGCTCGGCTTCGCCCCCCGGCTGCCTCGGTCCATTTACATCAGAACGTCTCTTTGAGTGTAACGTTACGAGTTCACGGGAACACGACGGTCTAACCGTTTGCTTCAGCATCAGCTGAAGGAAGACCTTTAGCTGTTGTTTGCAAATTCTGCTAAAATAAATAAAACATTTATAAAACTGACCGTTAGAACCATTTATGTGATCTCTGATATTGATCAGCATCAGAAACTGCAGTGATTGTTCCTGAGCATCTTTACTCTTCAGCGCTTCTCGTGTCTCTCAGACTCAGTTTGGGTTCTGTGTGACCAGAACCCAGGACTGTGTGGGACCTTTCTTCTGCGCTGGTCCAACAGAACCTGAAGGAAGCACGTTGCTTTAAGAAGTTCACTTCAGGAAGCAGTTTCTGTCACATGTTGAGGAGCCGAGCCTCCGTCTGACCGTACAGTAGAGCTCGCCGTGGGAAAGAGGCCGAGCTTCGGCTCATCACTCGTTCCTCAACTGCTCCAGATTCTTCTCGTGTTTTACTTCAGCCTTTGCAGTGAAACTCACATTCACCTCCTGCGTGTCTGAAATACTTCAGACTCTTTGTGCTCCTTTGTTTCTGTCTGAGGGAACAGAAA